TAGAACATAAATATTTTAATAGAAAAATGGGAAAAGATTAATTAAGGTTACCCACCCCCTTAAAAACAACATTAAATCAGGATAGCATAAAAAAAGTCAAGCTCTGATATAAGTTAGGAAATGCCAACTAAAACAATGAGATGACTGACAATTTTTGTCTATGAGATTACACAATCCCATAAAGTTTTGCCATATCAAATGTTGGTCACTAGGATGGATAAAAGGTGCATTGGTATTCTGCTGATGAGTATTTAAATTGGTACAAACTTTACAAAGTACAGACCTTTGATTCTGCTTCCAAAACGTTTCTGAAGAAATAATTTTTCTTAATAGTAAAATTAGGGGCACCTGGGTGGCTCAGTCAGTTAAGCGTCTGACTCTTGATTTCAGCTCAGGTCATGACCTCAGGGTCCTGAGATGGAGACCAGTGTCAGGTTCCGTGCTCAGCATGGAGACTGCTTAAGATTCTCTCCCTCTCCCTCTGCCCCTCCGCTCCCCACCGGACATGCACTCAGTCTCTCTCTCTCTTTCTAAAAAAAAAAAAAAAAAGTAAAATTCAGCTTAAACTGCTGTGTATAATATAATTTCATTGGGGGGGAATTTAAATTTAAATTTAATTTTTTTTAAGACTTAATTTATTTATTTGACAGAAAGAGACACAGCAAGAGAGGGAACACAAGCAGGGGGAGTGGGAGAGGGAGAAGCAGGCTTGCCGCGGAGCAGGGAGCCTGATGCAGGGCTCAATCCCAGGACCCTGGGATGACTGAGCCACCCAGGTGCCCCTGGAATATTCTTTAAATACCCAAATACTAATAGTGATTGTTTCTGTAGGTGAAATTTAGAACAAATTTAAGTCCATATTTTCCATATCTTCTAGAATTATTTTGCAATATGCAAATATTATTTTCATAAATAGAAAAAAGTAAATATTATAAAATGTTAAGTGATTCTCAAATTTTTTCGTTCCCACCTGCCATAAACAAATTTCCTAGTATTTATAATACCTCATAGAATTTATTTACTTACTTACTTACTTACTTATTTTATTAGGCAGTGGCACTGAAAGAATCTAAACTTCTCAAATACTTCTGTTTAGAGTGGTTGATGTATACACAGGAGCAATTTCAGGGAAAAAGGAATACATTCACTGTGAATCTTTTCCACAAACCTTTCTTAATCTCTCTTCCATCTCCATTACTTAAGCCTACATGACTTGGAAGTCACAAGTTGTTTTCTGAAGCTGATTTGTTACCCAGTATTTGTAAGACCTTAGCCAAATGATTTAGAATCTCTGAACCTCATAGGTAAAATTTGAGTTACTAACAGATTTAGAATGCCCTAAATCAATAATTATTTATAAATCAGCAGGGCAAACACAATGCCTTTCTTTTTTTCCTAATAATAGTGTCTAGGACATGATAGTTTTGGAAACTAAATAAATCAATGAATGGGTAGATGGATTAATGAATGAATTGACCATAGAATACTAGTATCTCCTTGAAAGCAAGAGCAAATTTTTATTCATGGTTCTTAAAGTATGGTCTTCAAACCAGTAGCATCAACATCAATGGAGTTTGTTTGAATTACAAATTCTCAGGCTCCACCCTGGAGACTGGGGACTGGGACCTAGTAATCTGCATTTTATCAAGCCCTCCAATATTCTGAAGCATGCTAAAATTTAAGAATCTCTGAGTTAAGTTGCTTTTCAATTGTTAGTATGTACTGATTGGAGTTTGATGAGTTCATTGATAATGTAGATGCTAGGCAATCCATGCACATCTAAGTAGAGTTCTTCTGAAATTAACACCTAGTGCCAAAGTTTGCAAATTGCATTCTTTGCCACGTGCCATATGAAAGTGTTTATTTATTTGGTGCATGTGGTTGGTTGTCAGTACTTGAACATTAAGCATTTGGACACTTTACAGAAAGAATCTAGATCTCAAAAAATGTTGCCCTCTTTTTCTTCATGGCAAGACATGCTGGACCTTAGCTCCTCCAGCATCATCATCATCACATTATTCTCCCACTCCAGAGATCAAGTATTAGTTTATTATCTTGCTTGAACTGTTGTTTTTCTTAATCTCAAGCTGTTTCACAAACTGTCTATGAATGCATGGGTGACTCATTTTTCCAGTTTGTCTGGGACAGACTCAGTTTATACCTTTGTCCCACCTAATTATTCATAGTCTTCCCTTTGTCTCCAACGTATCTTGGTTTGGATGATAAATTATAGGTCATCCTATTCATAGGTATTTGCTTTTGCAATTCCAGACTTACCGTCCCTTTCCAAAGTTAATATTGAAGATCCTCTAACAAAAGACGAAGGTAAATGTGATCCTAGGTATGGGAAGAGGAAAGAAGGCAAGTTTAGAAGCAGAGCCCAAATCATGTATGCTAAGAATAAAATGTCTTTAAATATTATGTTTTGTCTTAAAATCTATGTATGTGGACGTTGGTGCAGTGTGCATGTGGTTTTGATGAAAGCTCCCACTCACAGAGTTTGGTTTCTGTACAAAACCTCATTACATCAGTACAAATGTACACACACTTATTGGTTTGTACACTTCTTATGAAAATAAACATACAAACAAGAATAACAAAATCCTAATTATTATGTGGAAAATTTCTTTACCAGTACTCTTTTCTTCTCATATATTTGACACAATAAACCAAGCTAAATTACCACACCTTTCTCTTTGCTGTCCCGCAGTGTGGCCCATGTCTACAGCATGGAGCCTAACCATTTCCTTATAATCCTATGATGCATGAACTCATAAGATAATTCTAATGTGGACTTCAAGTAATACTTAAGCAACTTTTAATTTGTTCTTTTAGAATTTGTTTTCTCTTGTATTGATGCTAAGCCTGAATTCTCTTTTACATTACAAAAAATTCAGGTGATTTTTTTTTCCTTTAAGCTTCATATGATTGGATTTTATATGCTGCTGGTAGTATGATTATATTAGGAATTATTTAGAAATTTCTCACAGGACAGATACCAAGCTTTCAACTCATTTGTATCTCTGTAATAACAAATGCTAAATTTTTAACAAACATGCTAATAATAATAAAGTTTTTTGGAAAGATGTCATTGCCAGGATTGATTCTAAGCATGTTGATTGTGTTAACTCATTTAATAATCAGCAGAACTACATAGAGAAATTAGAACCCCTGTGCATTGTTAGTGGAAATGTAAAGTGGTGTAGATGTTACTGAAAATAGTCTGGTGGCTCTTCAAAAACTTTTAAATATTTATTACCATATGATCCAGCAATTCTATTTCTGGGTATAGATCCAAAAGAACTGAAAGCAGAATTTCAAAGAAAAATTTGCACACCCATGTTCATAGCAGCATTATTCATGGTAAGCAAAAGACAAAAGCAGACCAAGTATTCATCAATGGATAACTTGGTGTGGATATGGATAACAAAATGTGATTTATACATACAATGGAATATTACTCAGCTTTAACAAGGAAGAGAATTCTGACACATGCTACAGTATAAATGAACTTTGAGCACATTATACTAAGTGAATTAAGTCAATCACAAAAAGACAACTATTGTATGATTCCACTCACATCAAGTATCTAGAGTAGTCAAATCCATAGAAACAGATTGAAGAGTAGGCCAGAGCCTTAGGGAGGGGGAAGTGGAGAACTGTTATTTCATGGATATAGAGTTTCAGTTTTGTAAGATAAAAAAATTCTGGACATTGGTTACACTGCAATGTGAATATACTTAATACTCCTGAACTGTACATTTAAAAATGGTTACGGGATGTCTAGATGGCTCAGTCGGTTAAGCATCAGACTCTTGGTTTACATTCAGATCATGATCTCAGGGTCATGAGATTAAGCCCCACATTGGACTCTGCCCTGGACATGGAGCTTGCTTGAGATTCTCTCTCTCTCTTTCTCTCTCTTGCTCTCCTTCTGCCCCTCCTCTCTCTCATAAATAAATAAATAAATAAAAAATAAGTTAAGATAGTAAATTTTATATGATGTGTATTTTCCTACGATTAAAGCTAAAGAAGATGGCATTCTCCATCCCAATGGAACAATGGAGGCACAGAGAAGTTGAAATTGTGGCCTTATTCACAAAACTGGTGGATTACTGAGCTGGAGATTTAAAGCCCAGGGAGTCTGGGTCTGTAGACCAACCTCTTGCTCCTCCCACTGCTTACCATGTTCCTGATGTTGTTTTCCAAAGCTTCACTAATTGCAGCTGGGATAGTGCAATCACCTATTTCACCTATAAGTTCATTTAAGAAATGAAGGTATAATTCCTGTAATTCCTGAGGTATAATTCCACAGTTCTCTAAGTTTTGCCTGATTCCAGGCAGTCTACATATCCATTACTATCTTGCCTATGTAGTTGGTTTTTAACTAACAGCAAAAATTCATTTTCAGTCATGGATCTGTATACCTAATTGAAAGTACAATGACATGAGCTTTTGTTTTTGGTGGTCCACTGCAGCACGGGGAAGAACTGTGTTGATCCTGTACCTTTGGAACGTGTCACTTGATTGCAGGAAGCTTGGCAGGAAGGGAAGGTGATTCATGGGAGTCAGTGGCTTTATGGGCGTTATGTGTCATCAAAAGGAAAAATAAAATCCCAACCTTAGTTTAGAGTCATAAAATCGTACAAAAATGGACAAACTAGCTCAGAGAACATCTCAGAAAAATCAACAATTCAGGATCCCTAATCAAAGAGAACCAGATTAGCATTACTGTGCTCAGTCTGGATGTTCTCCAGATTTGTGAACCTAATGCACTATACCCCGTGCACATAAGCAGTTTTTCTCTCTGTTCTTTCACACTCCTATCCTCCACACAAACCGAAAATGAAACACCAGCTCCCAGAGAAAACTAGGAATTCGTTGGCAACATGTTTTAAAGACACAAACACGTTTTTAAAATGTCTTTAAAGATCTGTAAGTAAAGTGGAGGGTCTTAAAGAACATGCTGGTTTCCTTCTGGGCTTTTTTGTATCTCCCAGCTCTGCATAGGTATAATCTCCACGGCAAGGGCTTGGCAACCGCTGCGTACGGTGATCTGTACCCGTCTTGTTAAGGGCCCTTCCCTAACGGATTGATTACAGCAACTAGACCATAGGACAATCTCACAGGGTGGCTGAGGTAACAGGGGTAGAGAACAGGAACATATTTCTGGGGCAAAGTTTCTTCCCCTCCACACACAAGCTTCTTGTTTAATCTTTCTTTGTGTATATGTGACTCAGCGTACAAAAAAAATAAAAACAACAACAAAAAACCACAACAACATACTAAGAGGTTGTAGAAGTGATTAGAGTGACAGAAACCATCAGTTCTACCCTGTTTCTGCTTGCTGAAATGGAAATTGTTTAGTATTAGCTTTAGTAAATGTCTGTGTATATTTGCCCTTTCCATGACATTGGAAACTTAGCTTTCTTCCGGATGAACACACACACACACACACACACACAGACACACTCACACACGGTGACTTTTTATCATGATCAAAATTATTAGAAGACATTCTTATAAACTGCAGAGAAGCAACAGGCTTCCATACATGGATGCTTCAGATCCTTCCCCTACGCATTTCTCTCAGACCCTTTGAAACCCTGGGGAAACCTTCAAGTCCAGGCACTCTGACTGTGCTTACTTCTGGCCACCACCCTGATCCATTTCCTTCTCAGGGCTTCCTGGCTGCACCAGCTGTTGAAACAGCAGTGCCTGCCTCTGTGTGCATGTATGTGTGTATAGGTCAACCTTTTTATATCTTAACTGCCTGTAAAGTCACTGACTACTACATTCAGATCAAATCCAGCACTTACTTTTCTCCCGGAGACAGAAGCGAGCCTCCCCAGGCTCCCCCGGCCCTGCCCTCCTGGGAATACCACTACCAGCTCCCAGGGTTCTTGTCAGCACCAATACCACTGGCTGAAAATAAAAACTGAAAGCGGAGACTAAGTGTGAGGTAAAATTTGCTTTTTAAAATCTCTTTTCTTGAAGTTTTTGTCTGGCATCTGCAGAGCATTTTGGGCTTCTCCAATGATTTCCGCTTTGAATACATGCTTGCAATTTAAATGCTTTTGCCTAATTCCAATTTTCCCACAGGAAACTCGGTATTGTTGTTTATGCTGTGCACAATCTATCAGGCTTTCCGTGATCACTTTTATTTTTCTAGGTTCAGTTGGACTCTTCTGAAGCATGCCAGTATTGGGGGTCTTCTTATGAAACTTATGAAACAATAAGCCTCATAAAGGAACAAAGTTGGACTTTATTAGAGTGAAATAAATGGAAGAAATATTCTTTTCTCATTAAAAGAACCATTCAGGTTTTTTTTAAATTTATTTTTATAATTTTTTTTAAAGATTTTATTTATTTATTTGAGAGAGAGGGAGAGAAAAAGAGAGAGAGAGCACAAGCAGGGCCAGGGGCAGAAGGAGAAACAGACTCCCCACTGAGCGGGGAGACAGACATCGGGCTCAATCCCAGGATGCTGGGATCATGACCTGAGCCGAAAGCAGACGCCTGACCCACTGAGCCATCCAGGTGCCCCAACCATTAGGTTTTAATGTCAGATATCTCGGTTAGTTTCTCCTAAGAGGGGTGTTATTTTTCATTTTTCTCTTTTTTTACCGTTGATCTTTTTAGAAGCCAATTCTAGACATTGTAATTTTCAGCCTATCACTCAACTAGGAAGACCTGTGGTGTCATGTAGACTGTCATATATAACCACATAAAATTGTCAGTTTTTGGTGGGATTTAAAAGATTTTTATAAACTAATTTTTATGATTTTAAATGTCACTCTTCCAGGGTATCTGGCTCAGTGACATTAGTTATGTTATGTCTTCCAGCTTTACCGGCCTGCATCCATCTTCCCGTGTGATTCTGAACTCATCATCATCCATGGGTCACAACAAGAAGTGCAATTCAGGACTACTACTCTCAGATTTCTAAGTTGGTTACACCCACTTCCTAGATGTGACTAGGATGTATTCAGAATCAGCTGCCTTATTTTCATTTTGTTACTCATATCCATGCTTCTCTGACAACATTTTTGCAGCATGAAAAGCTTGAGGTTTTTGTCAGAGGAAGTTTGCTTTGTCAAAGTAAAATTTCCTTACAAATTGTGAACACCCTGATTTGGATGACAGAAAATCACAGACACATCGACTCTGGTGCAGGCCCACCCACAGTAGATTTGCGATATGACCAAGCGCTCAGAGCTGGGGAAACTCATCTATTTCTGGTTGCCACTCACTTGTCATGTGTCTTTGAGCAGACTCTCTGAACTTGTTCCTTAATCTCATCCACAAAATGAAAGTAAGACTTATCATCAGGGTGGGTAGCACAGTAAATACCATTTATTTTCTAGAAGATGTTAATTCATTTTGATAAATCATTTATATACACCCTATAGAGAGTAGATGAAAAGTGGTTTAAAGTCATACTTCCCACTTTTCTTGAGCATGCCAATTACTTGGGGACTTTGTTAAAAATATAAATTCTGATTCTGCTTTGGGGCCTGAGATGTTGCACTTCTAACAAGCGCTCAGGTAATGCCAATAGTACATGGTGCTTGTACATGAACTGTATTTGAATAGCAATAGTGAATTGATTATATAAATATAAAACAATAGTACAAATAAATCAAAATTAATAAAGAAATGAAAAAGAATGAGTGAAGACATGAACGGACCCAGGAATGATGTTATAAATGTAGAAAATAATGTTAACCCCCCACTAAGTGGGGAACAAATTTGTCCACATGATTTGTAGCAGACAGTATAAAAATGGGAACTGTGTCCTCAATATTTATTTGCTTTCCCCTAATAATCTGTATGTATAATAAGAGTTAGTTAGTGCAATTATACCACTGCTACATTTTATATTCTGGAGCCAAAGAAGAAAAAGAGAGCTTCATTTATTTTCCTCAATTAAAAAAAAAAGCATCCAAATGATTTTTGGGATCAATATTTACCCTTATATAATCTGGGAAGACATAATTAGCTAAGAAATTAGTAGAACAAAATGTTCAAGGAAAACTGTTTCATTTATTGTATGTAACTCAGGTCTAATACCCAATTATACTATGTTGACTTCTGCTGTCACTCATTCCTATATATGTATATTCAAACTGGGAAGTAACACTATCCCCAAGATCTTAGAAGATTCTGAGTGGGACATACAGGTTCAATCATTCACTCTTTCAGTTCATTCAACATCTGCTTCATTCCAAATACAGAGCTTACAGGCTTAATTTCACTTCTTTCCACTTCCTGCTTGTGCTGGGTTCCTGACCAACCATATTATTTATTCCTTTCCTGAGGCTGCTGAAATATTCCACAGTAACTCATGCTGGAGAATTTGTTCTACTGGACTCTGCCCCTTCATTAACAAGGGACTGCGAAAGCAACCACATTTACCACAAAATAGAAGATAATTAAGAAGCTTACAGAAGGCAACAATTTAATATGGAATACTTAATATAATTTTCCTAAAATGCCCTGGCCACTCAGCTTTCATCAGCATTTTACCTCAGGATCTTGCCTTCTCTAAATTTATGTGTGTCTACCCATGCTGAGAGTCTGCTTTTCCATCAATATACTCTTCTTCAGGCCTCTGAAGGACCCAGCTCCTCTACTTTATGAGGAGTAATAAAGATGCAAAATTCCAACTATTTTTACTGTTTTTCTAGCATAAGATGCCATATGTTTAAAGATAAACCCATGATTTAATAACAACTTTTACTGGGGGAACAAAAAGACACACATTTTTGTGTGCATACCTATTAACTATAAGATATAAAATTATGATATATAATGCATGTCTTACAATGTAAAATGAAGAAATCTTTGTCCAGATTTCTCTCTTCTAGACTGTTTTTTAGGGGGTGTATGGAAGAGTTACCTCTAAAACATCAGGTTGTTGTATCAACAAGGTTTTCCTAATAAAAAACATACCTCTTTCTATACAAACTTATTTTAGGGATAACAGTTTAAACAGCACCTAGCTTTTAAATTAGTGATTTTGTTTGTAGCTCCCATTATACAACTAAATATTGAAAGCTTAATAAGTACAGTCACTGTTTAAAGTACCATCAAGGAATTTTGGAATCACCAAATTACTTACGACATATTTATGTGATAAAACCTCTGGTTGGCAATCTTTGAAGTCCAGTTATAGTTATTTTACTTGCAGCAATAAGAGTTCATCTAAGATATTATATCATTCAGATGGTTATTAATTAAAACGCTATTCATATGTAGTATATATTACGTATTATTGTTGATTGACAGATTCTCTGAAATAAATGGAACAATTGATTATGAAGGATCTTATAACTTCTACATTTTACATTTCCATCTATTTCTAGGATGTTTACATTCTGTGGGGGGGGCGTTGTAAAATGAGACACAGTGGTTAAAGCAGTTAGAGTTTCACTTACAAAGGTCAGTGGAGATGAAGTGGAAAAAGTAAACAATGAATAGCTCTCCGAGATGGCCAATTTTATGTGTCAACTTGATTGGGCCACAGGGAACCCAGATATTTGGTCAAACATTATTCTAGGTTTGTGAGGGTATTTCTGGATGAAATTAACATTTAAATTAGTAAACTGAATAAAGCAGATTGCCTTTTCTAATGAGAATGGGCCTTATCCAATCAGTTGAAAGCCTGAATAGAACAAAAAGGCTGTCCTTCCTGTGAATGGGGGAGAATTCATCCTGTCTGACTGTCTTTGAGCTGAGACATCAGTTTTTTTCTGCCTTCACACTCAAACTGAAGAGTTGGTTGTTCTTGGGTCTCAAACTTGCTGGCGTTCAGATTAGAACTAAACATTAGCAATCCTGGGTTTCCAGTTTGCCATCTATAGATCTGGGGAATTTTCAGTCTTCATAATTTCATGAGCCAATTCTTCATAATAAATTCTCTCCAAACATATATATAATATTGGTTCTGTTTCTCTAGAGAACAGAGAATAATAATATAGTCTCCTCCCAGGACTCAAAAATTTTGGAAGATTTAGAAAAGCAATGAGATTCTAATTCAGAGTTAGTATTATTAATATGATTAAGATTAAAATAGTTACTAATCAAAGAGTTTGCAAAGCAATTTTTATTTTATATACATATGTACATTATAATATAATGAAAACAATGTACATATGTGCATTATATATGTATATATAAAGAGATTTATTATACCTAATTGGTTTATGTAATTTTACTGGCAGGCAAGTTGGAGATCCAGCACAGCTGATGATTTAGTTCCAGTCTGAGACTAAAGGCCTAAGAACCAGGAGAGCTGATGGTGTTTTAGTTTGAAAGTTGTCAGGTACAAGACTCAGGAAAAGTCAATGTTTTAGTTCCACTGTGAAGACAGGAAAAAGCCTGATGTCAATTCAAAGATTGTTAGGCAAGAAGCATTCTCTCTTATTTGGGGGATGGTCAGCCTTTTTGTTCTGTTCAGGCCTTTAACTTTAAGAAGGGCAATCTGCTTTAGTCAATATACCAATTTAAATATTAATGTCATCCAAAAACACTCTACTAAGAATACTAAGAATAATATTTAAGCAAATATCTGGACATCTCATGGTACAGTCAAGTCTATCCATAAAATTAACCATTGTAGTTTCTAAGCAAGATGGAGTAACAGGAACTAGATTTACTCTTTTGCATGAAGCAACCAAATGAAAGATAGTGGATAGGAAACAAACAAACAAAAATTGAACCATATGATTTCCCCAGATTACTGCCTTAAAGGAATTCCCAGGCCACACTTCAAGGAGACGATAGCAGACACCCAATAAAAAAAATATCAAGCATGCAAAGAGGCAGAAAAAAAGAAACCATAATTTTAAAAAATTATTCAATTGAAAGCAACCTAGAACTAACATGATGTTAGAATTAGCAAATAAAGGCCTTAAAACTGTCACTATAACCGTATTCAATATGCATCAAAAGTTGAGACAATAAAAATATAATCATTTCCAAAATGATATTCTAGAGGTGGAAACTACATCTGAGGTAAAAACGCAATAGGTGGGATTAACATCAGATTACACACTGCAGAAGAAAAGGTTAGTGAACATGAAGGCATAGCAATAGATGTTATTCAAAATGAAACATAAAGGGAGAAAAAGATTTTTAAAAATGAATAGAGCATCAGTGAGCTATGAATAACTGTATGTGACCTGGGGTCTCAGAAGGAAAGACAGAAAAATTATTTGAAGAAATGATTGGAAATCCACAATTCCAAGAAGCTCAATAAATCTGAAACATACACACACACACACAAAACTTGTGAAAATGACCACACCAAGGCACATCGTAATTCCATTGCTCAAAATCAGTGATATAGAAAAAAAGAAAATCTTAGTCACAGGAATATAAGGCCCAGCACAGGGAATATAATCAGTGATATTATAATAATGTTGTACAGTGACAGATGGTAGCTACATCTCTGAGGAACATAGCTAAGTATAGAGAAGTTGAATCACTATGTTGTACGCCTGAAATAATGCAACATTGTGTGTCAACTACACTCAAATAAAAAAAAAATTTAAAAAGAAAATCTTAGAAGCAGATAAAACGCATGTGTTATGTACAGAAGACAAGGTAAGAAAGAAAGGATTTCCTAAAAAGAAAAATGAGGTACTACTAAAGTGTAATGATGAGTGGCAGTTTCATTTTGCTTTAAGTCCAGCTAATTCTTAGCATATTTCTGTAAAATCTGATTTTCAATTCTAAGATGTGTAGTTTCATTTCTGTTAAAAAGCTTCCAGTAAAGACCTTTGTACTGCTTGTCACTGAGCCAGTTGCTGCACTTGAAATCTACAACTTCACACACACAAAAATGCCCTTTGTATTTAGATCTCTGCTCGCTGACTGTTAAAGGTCAATTTCACTTTGTACCAAATAACAGTGTCTTAAGAATAGCATTAGTTATTCAGCTTCTGATTTTGATCTTCTTTATTTTCCCATGATTGGATTGTCAGAAAATATTCTATTAAGTATTTGTACAACCTGGTACAAAAATGATTTCCCCAAAAGATCTCCTGAGAAAAAATCTGAAGATGATTCATGGCTATCCCATGATCTACGCTTTTGCAAACAACTGGGAAAGGATTGAAGAGTTCCACAGCAGGCCAGATGACATTGTGATAGCCACTTACCCCAAATCAGGTGAGTTTTGTGGACCGACAGATGCAGATCTGGCTTCAGTCTTTGTTCCCTGAAAATCAGCTTCTCTCTATAAAATCATTATCATCCTATATAAAATTAATATTCCTATCAGTCTAGCCATGTACTTTTGAGTTTATTTAAAATGAGCATTTGGGGCGCAGAAAGGGAAATTGCAGAATTAAGTTTCTAATAGAATGTATTAAGATTGCAGACTACCTGTAGGGACTTTTGCCCCCAGATTCAAGTGATGGTTACAAAAAAATGTCTTTCACCACAGGTACCACTTGGGGTAGTGAAATTGTGGACATGGTTCTAAATAATGGTGATGTTGAAAAATGTAAGCGGGATGTTATAACAGTTAAAGTTCCAATGTTGGAAATGGCCATCCCTGGACTAAGAACTTCAGGTAATTTTAAACTACTTGAGAATTATAATTTTTAATATTATTATTTTTTTAATTTTTATTATTTTTTAATTCAAAACCAGATTTTCTTTTTAATTTAATTTCAGTTAGCCAACATATAGTACAACACTAGTTCTCGATGTAGTGTTCAATGATTCATTAGTTGCTTAAAACACCCAGTGCTCATCACATCACATGCCCTCCTTAATGCCCATCACCTAATTCCCCCAACCCACACCCACCTCCCCTCCAGCAGTCCTGTTTGTTTCCCCGAGTCAAGAGTCTCTCATGGTTTGTCTCCCTCTCTGATTTCCTCCCATTCAGTTTTCCCTCCCTTCCCCTATCATCCTCTGCACTACTTCTTATATTCAACATATGAGTGAAACCATATGATAATTGTCTTTCTCTGATTGGCTTATTTCACTTAGCATAATACCCTCCAGTTCCATCCATGTCAATGTAAATGATAGGTATTCATCCTCTCTGATGGCTGAGTAATATTCCATTGTGTATATGAACCACATCTTTATCCATTCATCTGTTGAAGGGCATCTTGGCTCTTTCCACAGTTTGGCTATTGTGGACATTGCTGCTATGAACATTGGGGTGCATGTGCCCCTTCTTTTCACTACATCTGTATCTTTGGGGTAAATATCTGGTAGTGCAATTGCTGGGTTGTAGAGTAGCTCTATTTTCAACTTCTTGAGGAAACTCCATACTGTTTTCCAGAGTGACTGCACCATCTCGCATTCCCACCAACAGTGTAAGAGGGTTCCCCTTTCTCCACATCCTTGCCAACATTTGTTGTTCCCTGTCTTATTAATTTTAGCTGTTCTAAATGGTGTAAGGTGGTATCTCATTGTGGTTTTGATTTGTATTTCCCTGATGACAAGTGATGTGGAGCATTTTTTCAAGTGCCTGTTGGCCATTTGGATGTCTTCTTTGGAGAAGTATCTGTTCATGTCTTCTGCCCATTTCTTGACTGGATTATTTGTTTTGTGGATGTTGAGTTTGATAAGTTCTTTATAGATCTTGGATACCAGACTTTTACCTGTAATGTCATTTGCAAATATCTCCTCCCATTCCATAGGTTGCCTTTTAGTTTTGTTGACTGTTTCCTTTGCCATGCAAAAGTGTTTAATCTTGATGAAGTCTCAATAGTACATTTTTGCCCTTGCTTTCCTTGCCTTTGGTGATGTTTCTAGGAAGAAGTTGCTGTGGCTGAGGTCGAAGAGGTTGTTGCCTGTGTTCTCCTCAAGGATTTTGATGGATTCCTGTCTCACATTTAGGTCTTTCATCCATTTTGAGTCTATTTTTGTGTGTGGTGTAAGGAAGTGGTCCAGTTTCATTCTTCTGCATGTGGCTGTCCAATTTTCCCAGCATCATTTATTGAAGAGACTGTCTTTTTTCCATTGGATATTCTTTCCTGCTTTGCTGAAGATTAGTTGGCCATAGAGTTGAGGGTCCATTTCTGGGCTCTCTATTCTGTTCCATTGATCTATGCATCTGTTTTTGTGCCAGTACCATGCTGTCTTGATGATCACAGCTTTCTAATACAGCTTGAAGTCAGGCATTGTGATGCCCCCAGCTTTCATTTTTCTTTTTCAACAATCCCCTGGGTCTTTTCTGGTTCCATACAAATTTTAGGTTTGTTCCAGCTCTGTGAAAAATGTCGATGGTATTTTCATAGGGATTGCATTGAATGTGTAGATTTTTCTGGGCAGCATAGACATTTTCACAATGTTTATTCCTCCAATCCATGATCAGGGAATGTTTTCCCATCTCTTTGTGTCTTCCTCAATTTCTTTTATAAGTGTTCTGTAGTTTCTAGAATACAGATGCTTTACCTCTTTGGTTAGGCTTATTCCTAGGTATCTTATGGTTTTTGGTGCAATTGTAAATGGGATCGATTCCTTAAGTTTTCTTTCTTCAGTCACATTGTTAGTATATAAAAATGCAACTGATTTCTGTGCATTGATTTTTTTATCCTGCCATGTTGCTGAGTTCCTGTATGAGTTCTAGCAATTTTGGAGTGGAGTGTTCTGGGTTTTCCACATAAAGTACCATGAAATCTGCAAAGAGCTAGAGTTTGACTTCTTCTTTGCAAATTTGAATGCTTTTTATTTCTTTTTGTTAGATGATTGCTGAGGTCAGGACTTCTAGTACTATGTTGAACAAAAGTGGTGAGAGTGGGCATCCCTGTCGTGTTCCTGACCTTAGAGGAAAAGCTCTCAGTTTTTCCCCCATTGAGAATGACATTTGCTGTGGGCTTTTCATAGATGGTTTTTATGATATTGAGGTATGTTCCCTTTATCCGTATACTTTGAAGAGTTTTAATCAAGAAAGGATGCTGGATTTTGTCAAATGCTTTTTCTGCATCAATTGAGAGGATCATATGGTTCTTGTCTTTTCATTTATTAATGTGATCTATCATGTTGATTGATTTGTGAATGTTGAACCACCTTTGCAGTCCAGGAATAAATCCCACTTGGTCGTGATGAATAATCCTGTTAATTGGATTGGATCCCCTTGGCTAGTATCTTGGTGAGAATTTTTGCATCCATCAGGGATATTGGTCTGTAATTCTGCTTTTTGATGGGGTTATTTGTCTGGTTTGGGGATCAAGGTAATGCTGGCTTCATAGAACAAGTTTGGAAGTTTTCCTTCCATTTCTATTTTTTGAAACAGCTTCAGGGGAATAGGTATTAGTTCTTCCTTAAATGTTTGGTAGAGATCCCCTGGGAAGCCATCTGGCCCTGGACTCTTGTTTTTCGGGAGGTTTTTGATTACTGCTTCGATTTCCTTGCTGGTTACTGGTCTGTCAGTTTTTCTACCTCTTCCTGTTTCAGTCCTGGTAGTTTATAAATTTCCAGGAATTCATCCATTTCTTCCAGATTGCCAAATTTGTTGGCATATACTTGCTCATAATATGTTCTTAAAATTGTCTGTATTTCCTTGGTGTTGGTTATGATCTCTCCCCTTTCATTCATGATTTTATTAATTTGGGTCCTTTCTCTTCTCTTTTGGATAAGTCTGGCCATAGGTTTATCGATCTTATTAATTCTTTCAAAGGCCCAGCTTCTAGTTTTATTGATCTCTTCTACTATTTTTCTGGCTTCTATTTCATTGATTTCTGCTCTAATCTTCATTATTTCTCTTCTCCTGCTGGGTTTAGGCTTTATTTCCTGCTCTTTCTCAGTGTCCTTTAGGTGTAAGGGTAGCTTGTGTTTTGGGATTTTTTTTTAAGTTTTCAGAGTGTCTTGTATTGCAGTGTCCTTCCCTTAGGACTGCCTTTGCTGTATCCCAGAGGTTTTGAACTGATGTGTTTTCATTCTCATTAGTTTCCATGAATTTTTTAAGTTCTTCTTTAATTTTCTGGTTGACCCACTCATTCTTTAGTAGGATGATCTTTAACCTCCAAGCGCTGGAGTTCCTTCCAAATTTTCTCTTGTGATTGAGTCCAAGTTTCAAAGCATTGTGGTCTGAAAACATGCAGGGAATAATCTCAGTCTTTTGGTACTGGTTGAGAACTGATTTGTGAACCAGTATGTGATCTATTCTGGAGAAAGTTCCATGTGCACTGGAGAAGAATGAGTATTCTGTGTTTTAGGATGGAGTGTTCTGTATATCTCTGTGAAGTCCATCTGGTCCGGTGTGTCATTCAAAGCCCTTGTTTCTTTGTTGATCTGTCCATTGCTGTGAGTGGGATGATCTGTCCATTGCTGTGAGTGGGATGTTGAAGTCCCTACTATTAATGAATTATTATCAAAGTGTTTCTTTATTTTGGTTATTAATTGGTTTATATGATTGGCTTCTCCCATGTTGGGGGCATAAATATTTACAATTGTTAGATCTTCGTGTTGGATAGACGCTTTAAATATGATATAGTGTACCTCTACATCTCTTACTACAGGCTTTGGTTTAAAGTCTAATTTGTCTGATATGAGGATTGCTACCCCAGCTTTCTTTTGAGGTCCATTAGTGTGGTAAATAGTTCTCCACCACCTCACTTTCAGTCTGGAGGTAGCTTTAGGTCTGAAATGGTCTCTTGTAGACAACATATGGATGGATCTTGCTTTTTTATCCAACCTGATACCCCGTGTCTTTTGATTGGAGCATTTAGCCCATTTACATTCAGAGTAACCATTGAAAGATATGAATTTAGTGCCATTGTATTGCCTGTAAAGTCCCTATTTTGTAGTTTGTCTCTGTTTCTTTCTGGTCTGTTACTCTCGGGGTCCGTCTTCACTTACAGTTTCCTCCTTAATATTTCTTGTAGGGCTGGATTGGTGGTCACATATTCTTTCAGTTTCTGTCTGTCTTGGAAGCTCTTTATCTCTCCTTCCATTCTGAATGGCAGCCTTACTGGATAAAGTATTCTTGGCTGCATGTTCTTCTCATTTAGTATCCTGAATATATCATCCCATCTCTTTCTGGCCTGCCAAGTTTCTGTGTATAGGTCTGATGTTATTCTGATGTTCCTGCCTCCATACGTAAGGAACCTCGTCTCCCAAGCTGCTCTCAGGATAGCTTCTTTTGCTCTAAAATTTGCAAGCTTCACTATTATATATCGGGGTATTGATCTATTTTTATTGATTTTGGGAGGGGTCCTCTGCCTCTTGGACATGAATGCTTGTTTCCTTCCCCAGATTAGGGAAATTCTCAGCTATGAGAATTATATATACTATATATATACCTATGAGAATCAAATATACCTTCTGGCACCCCACCCCCTCAGGCACCCCAATAATTCTAACTTTTTTTCTTTTCAGGTCATCATTAAATTCTTGAAGACTTTCTTCATGAGCTCTGAGTTGTCTTTCGCTTTTCCTCAACTTTCTTCCTTTCCACCAGCCTGTCCTCTGGAACACTTATTCTCTCTTCTGCCTCATTTCCTCTAGCTGTTAGAGCATCCAATTTAGATTACATCTCAGTTATAGCATTTTTAAGTTCGGCCTGATTAGATCTCATTTCTGCCCTTAGAGATTCTCTACTGTCATTTA